GGGTAGTTAATCACTTTAACTACGAACAATCATGCTTAAGCTACATAATCTTTACTCCCTGGAATGGAGATAAGAAACGCCCTAACCTTTGGAATAGAAATTGACAGGATTAAAATCAACTGGTATAAATACACAGAGACAATAACACAGAGAATCTGGCTGGAGATCCTGGCTAGAGAGCCTGCCTAGGCTGCTGATCAACCGAACACTGTCTCCATGTCATTCCTTCTTTGCAGACTCCATCCACACCTTTGGGGATCCCTGGACCTGCTGGGGCTGGACCCCAACAGATGGGCACTTGGGCTGTTTCCAGATCTTAGCTATTGTAAATTGTGCTGCTATGATCATCGGGATGAATAGATACTTTCTGGTTTCTGGTTTCTTGGGATATATTCCTTGAAGTCAGATCACTGGGTCAAATGGCAGTTCCATATTTAATTGCAATGTGCAAGAAGACAGGTAAACCAGTGCATTTCCTCACAGCTTCATTATTGATTCTTAAGTAGATATCAATATGTCAGGAAGGAGAAGATTAAACCCTCATCTCTTTGCTGTACTCTCCTCCAGCATTCTAGGTGCTCTGAGGGCACTACTTACCCTGTGTTCCTCAACAGCCTCTTCCAGGGAGCAGTGTCTGAGAGCCTCATGCTCCTGAGAGGTAGAGCAGTGCAAACAGCAGGCTCCTGTTGTTTTCACAGAAGATCTGCTTTGTTTCCTTGTGCAGCCCACACCTATTGTCCTCAGGGCTCAGGAATTGCCGCAGACTGGCTTTTCTGGCCGTGGACACCAGATTTTTCAGGATAATATTGGTTTTGAAGATTTTCTGCTCTGATGGTTCCCTGCACACAGGACAGCAAGTAGAGCTTTCTCCCAGGATACCTAGAGACACGAACAACAGCAGCTGTGCCCACAGCCCATGGTGACTGGGTCTATCCAGTAATTCAGGCAGATGGCACAGGTGAGCTCTTTAGGGAAGTTTTGTGGGAGGTCTGAGTCCATTTTTCTAAGAAGCAGATCCAGGGCTTTCCGTAGCAGGAAAAATAGGAAGAGGTCAGCTCAGGGATCAAGCCTTTATGTGTGGTGCCAGTCTCTTCCAGAAGTCTCCCCAGTCAGGTGAGTTCCCAAGACATTCTGTTCTGGAGAAGCCAATTGTTAGTAACACTGATATAAGTAAGCAAGCTTTGGAACTATGAGACAAATATTGACTCCCATATATTATTTCTTAATTATATAAATAAAAATCTCAGTAAATTAAAAAGTAGTATCTATGAATTGAGCTTCTAGTTGATACGAGAAACTATAATATTGGTTTTGAAGATTTTCTGCTCTGATGGTTTCCTGCACACAGGAGAGCAAGTAGGGCTTTCTGCTTTCTCCCAGGATACCTAGAGACACGAACAACAGCAGCTGTGCCCACAGCCCATGGTGACTGGGTCTATACAATAATTCAGGCAGATGGCACAGGTGAGCTCTTTAGGAATAGTGCAAATGGGCAATCGTGCACTCACCTAAGGAGCAGATCCAGGGCTTTCCGTAGCAGGAAAAATAGGAAGAGGTCAGCTCAGGGATCAAGCCTTTATGTGTGGTGCCAGTCTCTTCCAGAAGTCTCCCCAGTCAGGTGAGTTCCCAAGACACTCTGTTCTGGAGAAGATTCTAAGCCAATTGTTAGTAACACTGATATAAGTAAGTGAGCTTTGGAACTGTGAGACAAATATTGACTCCCATATATTATTTCTTAATTATATAAATAAAAATCTCAGTAAATTAAAAAGTAGTATCTATGAATTGAGCTTCTAGTTGATACGAGAAACTTTCATGCTTAGCTCTGAAACATTTGCATTGGCAAAACAGTATTCTGGTAATTTGAGTTTAAATGTATTAAAAGATAATTTGATTTTTGAGGCTTTCCACCAATCTGAAGATTATCCTAGCAAACACAGTTCTATTAGAGTGAAATACAAAGCAACAGATGTTGACATTTAACCAATGTAGCATTTTCATTAATTTAGCATTTAATTTATTCATTTATCAGAAACAGTTCCCTTTAATTCTTTTGTCATTTCTAACAAATTAGAATTTACATTCATGGAAAAATGACACCTCAGAGTGTGGTATCAGCATTTTCTGTTTTGAAAATGTGCTCTCTAAGCACATCTTCTTTTATTTCATGATGTTTGTTTGTTGCACAAAATTAACTTCATGACAAAAATGCCCAATCTAATGTTTATGTTTGAAGTACCTAAAACTCAAAAGACAATGATTTTTTTTTGTTTTAAAGTTTATTAAAAATTTTTTTCCCAATTACCACTGAATTGCAATGATTCCTGATTATCAACTACAAACTAAATTGAACCATGAAAATAATTAACACTATTTCCACTGGGTTAGTGTTATATAATCATTAATGAATTATGGCAAATATCATCTCTTTTAAAACACTACTGTGCTTTTCTAGAAGTGACACAGATCTTTGTAAGGAAGAACTAAGCCTCCAAATGTGAAGCAGTCTATATTTAAACTATCTATAACAGAAAAAAAAATATTTGGAAACAAGTAGGAATTTGAGTAACACTGTTAGTGAAATTTTTGCTTGTCTAACAGCAAAGCTGTGCAGATTAGAGTAGCCTAATTATTTTAGAAACATTGGAAATAAATTTAAAGATGTCACTAATTGAGGAAACAAAAGATACTTCTTTCAGCACACCAAAATTCAATGTACTTTCATGTGGCTTAAAAAAATGAAAATCCACTTGGTTGTATTCAAACTACTCTTTTGTTTAAGGAACTGTGCATTCATAGCTTGTTTCTTCATAAGACATTTTTTTTGAAAACTTGTTTAAACAAGATTTGTTTTATTTAATAAAACACCAATTTTTAATGTAAAAGTTTTAAATGTCTGTTATAAAAGCAGAGTCAATCATATGTTAATTGTCAATGAAGATGCAGCCAAATATAGGATAATATTTACTCTTATATAAACTGAAATATTGTAGCAAATTACAAATAAAATTTTATTGCATATAAAATATCAGTACTTTTTATGCTTGTGCAAATAATGCCTAGTATTTTTAACACTATAAAAAATCTTTATAGTGTTAAAACAAGCAAACAACCCAATCAAAATTAGTTAGAAAGAATTTTTGTTTATTTTCTTACTAAATGTATTTGGGTGACATTGGTTAATAGGATCATATAGGTTTCAGGTGTGGGTTTCCATGATACAGGATCTGCATATTGCACTGTGGGCTCATCACCCAAAGTCAAACCATCTTTAATCACTCTATATTAGGCCCTCTCCATAATCCCTCCCTCCCATTATCTCACCCCCTTCCCTCTGATAACCACCACACTGCTGTCTGTCCATGAGTTTCAGTTTTATATTCCACATATGAGTGAAATCATATGGTTCTTAGCTTTTTCTGACTGGCTTATTTCACTTAGCATA